TATTTCTGTCTACTGGGTCAGAGCATATGCAGTGGCCGATCTAGTGGGCCTGCTGTGTACGATGGCTTTTTTGTGTGTTGTGGGTGGAAGCTAAAACTGTGGAGATAGTTGCATTGGTCAATGGGTTTCCTGTATATTTTGTCATCCCTAATGAATACTGTTGAAGGGGTTTATCAAGACTGAAGCAGACAGAATCTGTTTGTTCAGTTAAGATTTGAAAACAAAAGAGAGAAGCCGATTGGTTGCCATACGCAGCTGCTCCAGATTTTGTCTGCTCCAGTTTTGATCAATTCCCCCAAGTGTGTATATTTTTTCATCCTTGATGGATACTGTGGTGTCTAGGAAGTTCACATATGTGCTTGAATAATCCATTTTTAGTTTTTCTAAAGGTTGAAATGTATTAGGCAATGAGGGAATTTTTTTAAAGATCCCCTTTTTTTCATATGATATATATTGAAATATTGTCTATATAGCGATATATGTGGATTTTGTTGTTTGCTGTTAAGGAATTTGTCCTCCAGGTTTGCTTTAAATAAGTTAGCATATTGTGGTGCCATCATTACAGTACCTATACACTGAAGATAAATGTCATTAGCTAAAATGAAATATTTGTGTGGTGGAATGAATTTAATGAGCTGTGCAACATTCTTATCACTGTATTTGTGGTTAGGTGAGGATGATAAGAATCTGTAACATGCAGCAATCCCATCATTGTGAGGGATGTTGCTATACAGAAATAGAAACTATAGAGATACAGTCGATACATAGTTACTAAAAGTGCATTTGGTGGTAATTGCTATATACTGCGGAGCTTGTTCAGGAAATCAGTTGCATCTCTAATGGCTTTAGCACATTTTCTGCAAGGCTTGAGATTTGTTCAGTGAGTACATTTCTCCGTTATGATGGGTCTGTATCAATTCCCTGGCTTGTGGAGCTTTGGCAGCATATAAAAGTTCCTGATTTCTGGACTTGCACTTGTTTGCTTTGAATGTCAGCAGGTTGGTAGTATTTTAATGAGACCCTTTAGTTGTTGAGTAAAATCATAGGTGGGATTATAATACAGTATTTTATGGTAAGTATTATATGCAAGTTGCCTCTTGCACTCATGTTTACATTTGTTTGTGTCCATTACAACTACTGCACCCCCTCCTTTATAGCCTTTTGCTTCAGTGGTGGAAGATTGTATAAAATGGTCCTTTGCTGGGTAGAATCTGTCCAAAGCTGTTAATTTATGTGTCCCGTTTGGGGTTATATAGGGGATCCCACTGCACTCCTGACCGAGAATGCCCCAACTTCCAAGGGGGGGCTGAAATGACATTGGATGGCGGCGCTGGATCAGATAAACAGAGCAGTAAGTAACCAGCACTCCAATGGTTCTCCAAGCAAAGTTCTTTACATTCCATGTGTAAAGTTACCTCACCAAATGTAGCATCATTTCGGAACGCATCCAGTTCCATTTGGGGTTACGGCCTGTTGGAGGTGTGAAGTTGCTGTTTGATTTTGTTTCTGTGGAACTATTCCTTAAGTCCTGAAGAAATCCTCCAGTTGTATAACTGTATATGATCCAGCTTGGTAGTTGGGCAGAATTTAAGGCCTTTGGAGAGGACTGATATTTCCATTTCTGAAAGTTTCTGATACGACAAATTGATGATTCCCAGGTTCTCTGTTTATATCCACAATTTCAGTAAAGTCAACATGTTCATATGGGATACTGGCTTGGCATTCAGGTCACTGATAGTAGGAAATGTAGGTGTTGTGCTGGTTTTATGTTCTTGGAGTTGTATCCAAAGAGCATTTTCTTTGTATAGTCTCTGAAATTAAAAAGTGTCGCACAGAAAAAGAACCTTCATTATTACTGGATCATACAGCTGCCCCTCCAGTGATGTGGCATTCAATGCAGCAAGTGGAGCCATGGATGTTACAGGTGAAACTCGAATAATTAGAATATCGTGCAAATTTAATTGCAGTAAGTGCTGCAAAAGAGGCCCAAACCAAGTACTGAGTACATATGCATGCTTGTACTTTTCAGAGGTCCGATATTGTTCTATGTACAATCCTTGTTTTATTGATTGCATGTAATAATCTACTTTTTTGAGGTTGTGGATTTGGGGTTCTTGGGGTTTTCATGAGCTGTAAGCCATAATCATCACAATTATGACAAATCACGGCTTGAACTATCTTGCTTTGCATGTAATGAGTCTATCTCATATATTAGTTTCACCTTTTAAGTTACATTAGTGAAATAAATGAACTTTGCACGATGTTCTAATTATTCGAGTTTCACCTGTATATTGGTAAGACAGGACAGAAATTACAAAAGAGTGAATCTACAGTACATGGACACATCATACATGGAAGATGATTACTACACACCTGTAGGACATATTTTGTCACAACCAGATCACTTTATGGAAAACATGAATATTTTGGTTCTTAAATGGAACTTTAAAAATACTCAGGAAATGAAAATCTTTGAACTGCTAATGATAACTCTGAGAGGAAACCAAAATAAATGTGGACCTCGGCTTTATAAATCACTCTTGAATATTTTTGTGACCATTCTCACCTCTATGACTCTAGACCAGTGGTTCTCAACTCGTGGGTCGCGACCCAAAAGTGGGTCGCGACACCCTCTGCAGTGGGTCGCGTCGTCAATTCCAAATCATATGATCACTACGTCAGCTATGATATAGTGATCACAAGCAAACTGAAGGTCTCTACTGAAAATATAAAAGCCTTTAATCCAGAGATGAACTCTGCCACCTAGCACCTGTAGTGCCATCAGGTGTATAATTATTCAGCATTAAAAACAATAATAAATCAATAAAAAAAAAATAGAAAAAAGCAAAGGAAATTTTTTTGTCAAAGTATAATAATAAAAAAAAAGAGCAGAGACTTATTAAAACAGTGAACCAAGGGACAGCTGATGCCTTTAATCTCAGGTGGTTTTACTGGATGGAATTTGTGTCTTCTCCGGAGTACCTCTCCTGTCTTTGTACTTGACTTTTTTGTTCTGACCGTGTTACCCTGATCGACCTTTGGAGAAGGGTGAGTGTCGGAATTATTCCTCACTTTTTAACACTTTCCCTTTTCTTAAGTAGTTCACTCTTTGTTCAAGGTTTTTTTTATCGTTTTCTATATCTGTTGCTTATGTTCCTCTTTTTATGTTTTATGTTTTTCCCTTTTCCCGAAATGTTATAAAGATGAATGTAGTTATCAATCTCTTGTTTTCTTATCTGTTTTTTCAAGTTTTTGGAATAAAATTAAAGGTCCCCAGAGGGACAAGGGTAAGGATTTTCACTGTATGTGCCTGACCCATATGTGTCTTTGATTCGGAAACTATTTGGACAAGACTGTCATTTTTTATATGTAAGGTTTATTTTTCTTTGATTATAATGTTCTTGTACCGCCTGTACCCATCCACTGTTATAACTCATCCAACCAATAGCTTGACAGTTTGCTCTGAAGTTAAAGTTTTTATAGTTTTAGTTTTGGGTAAAGGTTGGAAAGACCAGGACCTGCCTCGGGCTTTTATTACTGTGAGGGGAATCTCCTAAAATGATCCATAGACAGCAATATAGACCTGACCGAAGATATAGCCCTTCTATACTCTATCCAAAGCGCAAAATAAAGTTTGGGCTGTAATTGCCCAAACCATAAACTCCTCTATATACCAAAGTATTCTAGCGTCAAATGTGAGGCCATCTGGCAGACAGCCAAAGCTTGGCCAAAATCGCAGCAGGACAATGATTTCAAGCACACCAGCAAATCTCTAACTGGATGGCTTAAAAAGAAAAGAATCAAGGTGTTGCAATGGCCCAGTCAAAGTTCAGACCTCATCCCAATTGAAATGCTGTGGCGGGCCTTTAAGAGAGTTGTGCATAAAGAAATGCCAACAAACCTCAATGAACTGAAGAGTGGACCAAAATTCCTCCAAAATGATGTGAGAGACTGATAACGTTATACAGAAAATGATTACATCGAGTTATTGCTGCTAAAGGTTCTGTGAGCTATTGAATCATAAGGTGTACTTAGAATATAGCCCTTCTATACTCTATCCAAAGCGCAAAATAAAGTTTGGGCTGTAATTGCCCAAACCATAAACTCCTCTATATACCAAAGTATTCTAGCGTCAAATGTGAGGCCATCTGGCAGACAGCCAAAGCTTGGCCAAAATCGCAGCAGGACAATGATTTCAAGCACACCAGCAAATCTCTAACTGGATGGCTTAAAAAGAAAAGAATCAAGGTGTTGCAATGGCCCAGTCAAAGTTCAGACCTCATCCCAATTGAAATGCTGTGGCGGGCCTTTAAGAGAGTTGTGCATAAAGAAATGCCAACAAACCTCAATGAACTGAAGAGTGGACCAAAATTCCTCCAAAATGATGTGAGAGACTGATAACGTTATACAGAAAATGATTACATCGAGTTATTGCTGCTAAAGGTTCTGTGAGCTATTGAATCATAAGGTGTACTTAGTTTTTCACACGTGGCTTCTCCATTTTATCTGTGTTTGTAAAATAAATAATGACATGGTGTAATATGTCATGTGTTGTTGTATTTACCAAATTCTAAGGCCTGCTAAGGACCAGATGATTTTTATCATGTCCTGATACTTAAAACCATCAAATTCAAAGTGGGTGTACATTTTATAATATGTATATATATGTGTATATATATATATATATATATATATATATATGGACAGTATTATTGTCTTTTAAATTAGATGTCACAGCTCTTTGTATACTGATTGTCATCTACAAAACTGCTTTCCTAAAAGTCTTTTTTTTTCTCATGCGAACCAAAGAGCATGAAGTCATGGGCCTCTTATGTCTGGTCCCCGGCGCTGCTTTCCTTGTCTCCTTCCTCCCGTAAATTGCCAGACATGTCAAACCAGAGACATGGCTGCAGCATATTGCTAATTATTTATTATTTATGCGTTATTTATGACTATAGCTGCTCGCATATGTCATGTAGTTTAATATTTCCTGTTTTCAGGTACTGGGAGGCTGTAAAGAAATGGGATGAAGGGATACAGTTAACACCAGAGGATGCCACATTATATGAGATGAAATCACAGGTAAGACTTTGCAAAATGTCATTGATGTTAAAGTGTTACTGTGGGCCAAATAAAATGGTATATAAGCTGCAGTCTGTCACTAGCATTAACACAGCAGTTTTAGTTTTCTCTCCCGTCCATTGAGGGACACAGAAATTCTGAAACCTTTGGTTTATGCGCCACCTACAGGAGGATTGGACACTGACAAAATAAGAAAAACTGTGGCCCAGTCCTGGGTATAACCCCTCCTGCTACCAGCATACCTCAGTTTTTTGCTAGTGTGGTAGAAGGAAGGATGTCAGCGCCGCTGATTCAAGACTTAACCTGTATTTTTTTTAGAACTTTTTCCTCTTTAATCAAGAATCTTCACCTTTTAGCTGCAGTTAGTCTTCCCACCTTCTTTGCAGCTATTCGATGCAGTTTTCCTCAGCGTTGGCTTTCTAACTTTCACTGTGACCAAACCCAGCTGGATTGGACATTGTATGGTGAGCCTGGAAATGTTCCTTGGGCGCTAGGTTCCAATTGAGCGCTTTCCAGACTGGTTCTCATTATGTTGGCTGCAAAGTGCTTTCTAGGTCTAGAATCTGGCATTGCCGTGTGCTTGCCCTGTCTGTGAACACTGACTCTCATTTGGTCATTGCTGGGTGCCAAGTGTATACTCCACCATGGAAGGAGTTAGTGCCGATTCCATTCTTCTGGGAAAAGTGTGTGTGCTCTGTACTCTCCTACCTTCCAAGGAGGCATCTTCCCACTGCTGCTTCTGCTGTAAGAGCCATGGGGAACTTCAATCTCTGATCTATTCCTACTGCTTGTCTTCAGTGAGCTGGTGTTGGGTCAGCTTGTATGTTGCTTAGTGCAGCTGCAAAACATCTGATTCTAGACATGGGGGACAGATCGCGCTGTACCAGGTACCTCTAGCAAACTGTCCAGTCAGCTGCAGCTAACAGCATTGTACCAGCCAGTGACACTGAGATTGGGGATGCTAAACTACTAGTTCCCCATCAGGTCCGATATGCTACTGATTGACAGCACGCACTGGGCGGATTCTATAGCCAATAGCCAGCCTGCAATCGGCTATGGACTCCGCCCACTGCCAGCTAGCAATTAGAAGCAGAGCAGACCTGATGTGGGACTAGTACCTCAGCATCTCCAGCAGGCTCCATCCACCCGCAGCATAAGTCCTTCCGCTCTAGGAAAGTATAAAACAATGTAAAATAAAAAAATTTTAAAGCAACAGTACACAAATAATGATCAAATACACAAAAAAACAGAAGTACAAATAAAGCAAACTAAACAGCAAATACAGCCCCCCAAATACCCACCCACTAAATAAAGAAAAATAAGATTAGATTGTTTTCAGGCAAATTGTTTGTACTTTGGGATAATTTTGCCGACATCACTCCACTCATATCTAGTCACTAACAGATACTTTTAAATGGTAATGTTTCACAAGGTCAGCTGCATTAGAGAGATTTCCCTGCTCAAGTTCCAGATCTCTCCTGCTGAACACTGTAATGTGTAAAAAATGTATTGTAGAATAAGTGAATAAATGGACACCTGCTGGCTAAGCAGACATGTAGGATTCAGAGTACTGAATTGAGTAAGGTAACAATAAAAGTGGTTACATTAGGTTTTTTTTAGAAGCATTACTCATGAAGATCAAAAAATATTGCAGTTAGATAAAGTTGGTTTTCTCGTTCTGTTCCAGAAGATGGTGCTTTAGGCCCCTATTTACCTTTTCCAGACTTTCAGTTTACTTGTTTTTTTAACATAATGTACAAGGTTTTCTCATTTTATACAAAAATATTGAAATAAGAAAAAAGAAGGCAGTCAAAGGCAATGCAAACCATGTCACAGAAACCAGTAGAGTACATTGATATCACCTTGAGACATGGGAGGGCCTGATGTTACAAACACTAACCATCAAACCTATGTTACTGAGTCAGTTTGCTTCTTTGAAGTAGAGCATGTTTACAGACCCCAATAGCAAAAAATTACACACAGTGATTCATCCGCAGATGGCTGTCTAGAGTTCAGTCAGAGGGAATACAATTTCAAATCAATACAGTGAGGAGAAAAAAAGACTTTGCAAACATCCTAATAATACTATAACTATTAACAAAAATGTATCTTATTTGTGTATCACTCAGCTGTAGATCCCCAAATCATCTCTGAATTGGTGCTGACACTGTCCTTCCTTCTGGAGGGTGGCTACTTTTTTCCCCATGGCCCCTGTGTGGGTTGTAAAGTAGCCAGCGCTCCAAGCTCACTCCTGTGATGGACTACAAACTCAGGTTTAGTTTACTAATTGGTATTGAGATTGTAGTCCATCACTGGAGCGATCTTGGAGTGGTGGCTACTTCACAACATACACAGGGACCATGGGGAACAAAGGTAGCCACCCTCCAGAAGGAAGGGCTGTGTCAGCACCAATTCAGAGATTATTTGAGGATCTAGACCTGAGTGATACACAAATAGGATAGTTAAGGTACTCGTTTGCATTTTTAAGATTTAACTCCTGAGTTTAGTATCACTTGAACCCAAGACACAACTCGGCAACTGAGCTACCATGCCAGGTGCAAGGGATTATTACAATAAATTAACCTAAAGCTGAACTTTTGGCAGATATAAAAGACACAAATTCATTCAGCTCTGTATCAATTAGCACATCATGTTTAAATGCATCCAGTGTAAGTACCTGAATTTGACCTGGTAATAGCTACATGCAATCCCCGTACAGCATGGATGAAGTGTAAGAGTGAGAAGCAGTAAGGAGCCATGTCCACCAGGGGGCCAGGACGGCCTGGAATCTGAGAAAGTTGGTTGAATGATGCTGGCCATCTGACTGAGGACATTTAGTAACAGAAAACAGCACCGTGGGGAAACATTTCTCGATAGAATGTGAATATTGCGAAAAAAGTTAGTTTTGTTATTTTATCTTTTGATGGGATATTTATTTTTTATCTTTTCATGTCTACTGGAGTTCAGCATTAAAGTGACACTGGCACCTTGCCCATTTAGAGCATAGTGCTGGGGTCTTTTCAAGGGGGCTTTCCCCCAACACACTGATACTTACCTTGCCAGCTCACCCATGCTCCTGTGGTTGCTATTTGGGGAGCGACGTCACCGCTCTCCCCAGTGTCTGACACCAGCCGACACTGGGGATTTTAGGGGGAACAATGGGTCAGTGCGGCCCCGTTGCCAAGATGCTGTCATTTTGTTCTAAATGGGCAAATTGACAGTGCTGTGATAAAGCATTATGGCGCATCTCTTTTCCTATGATATGGAATTGGAAGCAATAGATTATGGTAAGGCCTATCAGTATTTAATTGAGTTTTATAGCTCAAAACAATGTCTGAAAGTCCCTTGCAAAGCTCTTTTGTCTCAGAGTCATTGTGTAGAGACAGCTCTGACCAGGGGCGGACCTGCCGCCGGTGCGGCAGCCGCGGGGCCTGAGTCTAAAGGGGGGCCAAAGTATCCATTGTAACACAGCCCCGGCGCAGAGATGAGGCCCCGCTGGCTTCCGGATACCAATGTGATTATCACACA